TGCAGTAAAACATATGGCTCATAAACAAAAAATCTTAATCTTGAAATAGCCTTTGAACAGTGTTAGTTTATGTTTAGTATCACATCTTACAATATTTCCACAGACTTTAGCTTAATAGGGAGAGTATCAGAATAGTAATCCAAATGCCGCTGATTCAATCCTTCGGTGAGGCATAATTTCTCCTTGACAATTGACTTAGTGACAATTGGATTCAGATTTTAAGTCTTAATAGGTCATTTGTCTCTCTTCTGATTCAATTGACCATATATAAGATCTTGTACCTTATTGTGATAATTTTGCTGCTCTAAATTCCAAAAATGACAATCAGATCTTGTTAACATTTTCTTGTAATATTTAGTCATGTAGCAAATTATATCATATTGAAATTTTGCATATAATTTTTAGTTGATTCATATTTTTCAATTACAATTTAGAATTGTCATTTATTTTAGCTCAACTTTTTTTTAAAGAAAAATTTGATGATGCCTTTGCAATTGCCGTCAGAAAACTTGAACACTGGCATTATTTTTTCAATTTCTCAATGGATTGTCTTAATACTTGGACTAAACAACCCCCTTTTCATGTAAACCAGACAGAACTTGACCTTGACTAATAAATGACCTTGACCCTCAAGGTGAAATGTTTGAATTTTGCATGATTTTGCTATAATTGACTATAACTTTTTTATGAATGGATTGTCTTCATATTTGGACACAATAATCCTTTGAACAAGACCATCTGGTAGACCAAATCGATTGTGAACTTTAATCATCAATGACCTTGAACAGATTAAATTAATGAGCTTTTGCTTGATTTTTGCTATAATTGGCTATAACTTGGTTATTTATAAATGAATTGTCTTCTTACGTTGGCACAATCATTCATCAATGACCTTAACCTTGAATGTCAATTTTTGTAATGTAATTTTTTTCCTATAATTGGTCTTTATTTGTCCTGGACTGTCAAGGTCAAATTATCTTAAATTGTTTATATTATCATTTCTTTGTTATTTATTTACCAATTTGATTTATATTTGTACAAAAGAAAACATTTGACAAAACAAACATGTTGCATTATTTTGATGTGACCTTGACCTTTTTTTTACTTTGAAGGTCAATTTATTGAAATTTGCTGAAATTGATATAACTTTGTTATTTATCTACAGATTTGATTCATACTTAATCAAAAGAACACATATGACAAAACTGACATGTTGAATTTTTCTGATATGACCTTGACCTTAAATTTTATTTGTTACAAAAAAAAATGTTTTGTCGAAGTACTCTTTACTATAAAATTCTTCCTCTGATGTCTGTGACTCCAGAAATAATAAAAAAGTCAAGTACATGATTGTGTGGACCAAGATAGGCCATGGCTCTTGTTTTACACATACTAACCAAGAGTTCTCTGTTGTGTTTGTTCTTTGCCTTTGAAATGCAACAGTTGGCAACTACTTTAGCAGATAAAATGTTTTGCACCCAGTCGCAGCTTTTGTTCTAATGAAGTCAGAACTTCAATTGTTAGGATAATAACATTATTTCTTCATACCAAACAACTAAAACCACTAATTCAAAACAGTTATAGAAGTAAACTTTACTTTCAGACTAAAGAATAGGTTATGCCTACATAAACATTTTAAAGAATAACTCTATTTGTCTTTTTGTCATTATAATGTTAATAAAAAATGTCTGGGAAAGAGATTGACATTCCTGTATTGTTATCATGCAAGTTAATAGCTTATATAATGTTTTTGCAATACAACATATTTTCCCATAATGACGTCAGGGATACATTAAGTTTGGCAGAAATATAGGGAGATGACTTTCCTGAATGCAGTAAAACATTATATTACAAATATCTTTGTGTCATACAATTCATTTTGTGCATTGAAGTCTGTAACTATTTTGGCATTATACAGTCATATTTACTCAGAGAATCGGAAGCCAGAGTTAACCGACTTTGTTTTGTTTTTTGTCTGACATCATAACTAATATTATTCTGAATCAAATTTGTTGTACTATCGGTGGCCAAATGATTAAGGTCATTGGCTTCAAACCACTTGCCCCTCACCGATAAGGTTAAAATCCCACCTGGGACTTCTTTTATGTGAGGAAGCTCATCCAGCTTACGGAACTTTGATGGTTTTACTCAAGTGCCTGTTGGTGCTTGGAATATGCAAAGACAGGATCCTAATGTTTTCCTCCACCAGTGAAGCTGGAAAGTCTCCATATGACTTATTAAGTGTGTATGTCATGTGGTCGATATTTGCTGTTCTACAAATAATGTTTTTTTTGTATCATTTTGTTCTTGTATTTGTATATATATATATATCTCGTGTAACTGTCTGTTATTTATATGTTATACTTCTTTTTAGTCCGATATACAATCCACTATCCGATATCATTCCTATATTATACCATTTGATCACTTTTTCATCCTAACAACTAATAACTTATATTTCATTTAGACATACCTTACATGCTGAGCCTCAGTTTTTACAAACTTCCCGCACAAATCATCTCACGCATGCACATTTTGATACATATATTTCTAAGGTTTACGCTAGAAATTGTTACTCTTTGTTTATTTAAATTATCAAGCCATTTGTTTATGTCCTGTACAGGCATTAAAAGCCATTCTTTTATAGAAGAAGGACCATATACTAGATGTAGATGCAACATTAAACCCAAACTCCAACCCCTGTGGCTAACTGGTTTAGGCCTTACATCTAACATATACAGAACCTTGGTTGAGGTATGTGCCTAATTGTGCTTGGGGAAAATAAGATCATATAATTATTTAAACCTATATTATGTTTGTGTGACTAAAAAACCCACACATATCCCGGGTGTAGATTTTCCAGGGTAAGCCTGGAAGAGAGGCTGGTAAACCCTGGAAAACTATGGAAAAGCATGGAATTTCATGGAAATTCATGGAAAATTGGTATTTTTTCCATGCTATGTGGACTTTTTTTGTCCAGCCATTTCCAGCACTGCTGGAATAGGCTGGAAATTGGCTGGACATTTGTGGTAAAAGCCTGGAAAACCATGGACTTTACTTCCATGTAGCATGGAAAGTGGAACTTAGATTTTTTTGATGCTGGAAATGTGTTAAACTTTCTCTAAGAATATGCTGGAAAAAACTTGTAAAAATTACAAGAAATCTTACTTTATATATTCAGCACAATATTGTAAATTTAGGAAGAAAATATACAATCATCATTTATTTTAATGCAAGTTACTGTAAATGATTTGAAATTTGACACTTTATACTTTTTATGTAGATGAAAAAGGGTATCTCAGAAAAAATGTTTATGCTAAAGACATAAATGAATTGATTGTTCAAAATACATATTATTATTTAAATAAATCTACATGAAGTTATGTACAATGAAATAATATCCATTTAATTACAGGCTTAAAGTTTAACTATAAATTAATTAAAGTCTGTGATTAAATCATTCTACACTATAATAATCAAGATGGGATTGCATTGCTTGCCATTTTTAAATTGTAAGAATTCATGTTTTTGGATAACAATAAATAAATAAACAAAACAAAACAGTGCATAATATTATATTAAATTGACCAATATTTAGGAAAATAAATACTACATCCACTGAGATTTTACGCTACACAGATCAGAGCTCTGATAAAACTCATTGACCAGCATTTTCTAACCATCTGTGCATGACTAATTTACTCCACTGGTCATTTCAGATCAGTCTGTTCCATGTGATTATTTTGGGGAGAGATAACATTATAAATTTCATATGAAGAATGTGTCTAGAAGGACATTGCAATCTTTTTTGTACAAAAATTTGTAATGATCTTTAAAATCTATATATCTATTAGCTATTTGATATTTTTCTTTTACGCTCAAAGAATCAAAAGTTAAAATGATGAGCAGATTAACCCTGCTTTACATAATGATAGACCTGTCCAGTAACTGTTGTAAATTTTGAATTCTAAGATATCTGGGTCAGAAAGAGTGCAAATTACAGAGGATGTACTTGATATTTTAGCAGTTTTGGAGATATTGTTTTGTTTAAGACTTTAAAGTGTTTAAGTATTGGTATGATAACAATTAGAATCACCTCGGACAAAGAGATATACAACAGAATCAGGTATTTATAAACCTTAAGTTACATCAATGCAGAAACAGGTTAAATATCAAACTATCAACATTTGTAACACAAGATCAAGGTTTTTTTTTATATTTTCAACTTCATGCATTTGTTTTTTCTGATAATTGTTTTTAATCTATACATGTATGTAAAATATAAATTATTCAATGATTTCTTTATAATGTATATTGTTAAAATGACAATTGTTAGTAGATCTTTTTCATTTCCTACAAATAAAACAAATTAAATCAATTTGATTAAATAGGACTAAATGGTACAATCAGTAGTTTTCTACAGCTGAACAGGGTCATCATTATCATTTGTTATTTACATGTATGTGTTGTGTTTTCAATGGAACAATCTAAAATTACATTTTACATACTTGCAGGCTGGGACATAAGTGCTGACTGTGAGAATTACCAACAGTGTTTAATAATGATGTGCAGCATTAATCCTGAAAAGGTATATTTTTAAATCTCAATACGTGTACTTTTTTATTCCATGTCTTTTCTTGAAAAAATACATACTGGGTGATAAATATTGTCACAAATTTACTTAATTCTTATACATTTACAGAGAAATTCTTAAACACTTGTGCACTTTGAAATAAGATATACTGCATTGCTTTAGTATTTTTGAATATGCATAAGCATAGTTAATATTTAATAGTTAATACATTTGAAACATTAGATTTGATGTTATTAAAAGAACCGAAATATAACTGCATAATATTTATATGCAATAAAACATAAGTCTTTACCACATCTGTGTTAAATTTATTATGAATTTTATCTTTAAAGGTGAGCACAACCACAAGAAGTTCTAGGAAACACAGGCAGAGGACTGAAAATGGACATCAATAAAAGAAATAGTAATTTAAACTAGAACTGCCACTATCTTGGCGTGAATACCCCCGCATACCACTTTGTCAGAATCAACAGTGGCCATTTAGAGCGCAAGGACAACCTCCCTGCCAAATCTGAGGTTACTAAGCCAGTGCATTGCTAAGTTATGTATTCTACATGCTTCAAATGTGAAAATGTCAAAATCAATACATTGCAGACAGGACATTCTTTAGCAATTGAGAAGAAAAGCTTTTTTTTTGTCAAGGTCCCTGTGACCTTGAACTTTGACCCAGTGACCTCAAAATCAATAGGGGTCACCTTATAGTCATGATCAACATCCATGCCAAATTTGAAGACTGTGGGTCAAAGGAATCTTAAGTTAATGGGTGGACAAACTTTTTGAAGTCAAAGTCCCTATGACCTTGACCTTTGATCCAGTGACCTCAAAATCAAAAGGGGTCATCAACTAATCATGACTAACCTCCATTCCAAATATGAAGACTGTGGGTCATAGGAATCTTAAGTTATTGGGCGGACAAGCTTTTTGAAGTCAAGGCCCCTGTGACCTTGACCTTTGACCTGGTGACCACAAAATCAATAGGGGTCATCTACTAATCATGACTAACCTCCATTCCAAATATGAAGACTGTGGGTCATAGGAATCTTAAGTTATAGGGCGGACAAGCTTTTTGAAGTAAAGGCCCCTGTGACCTTGACCTTTGACCTGGTGACCTCAAAGTCAATAGGGGTCATCTACTAATCACGACTAACCTCAATGCCAAATATGACGACTGTGGGTCAAAGGAATCTTAAGTTATTGGGCGGACAAGCTTTTTGAAGTCAAGGCCCCTGTGACCTTGACCTTTGACCTGGTGACCTCAAAATCAATAGGGGTCATCTACTAATCATGACTAACCTCCATGCCAAATATGACGACTGTGGGTCAAAGGAATCTTAAGTTATTGGGCGGACAAGCTTTTTGAAGTCAAGGCCCCTGTGACCTTGACCTTTGACCTAGTGACCTCAAAATCAATAGGGGTCATCTACTAATCATGACTAACCTCCATGCCAAATATGACGACTGTGGGTCAAAGGAATCTTTAGTTATTGGGCGGACAAGCTTTTTGAAGTCAAGGCCCCTGTGACCTTTGACCTAGTGACCTCAAAATCAATAGGGGTCATCTACTAATCATGACTAACCTCCATGCCAAATATGACGATGTAGGTCAAAGGAATCTTAAGTTATTGGGCGGACAAGCTTTTTGAAGTCAAGGCCCCTGTGACCTTGACCTTTGACCTAGTGATCTCAAAATCAATAGGGGTCATCTACTAATCATGACTAACCTCCATGCCAAATATGACGACTGTGGGTCAAAGGAATCTTAAGTTATTGGGCGGACAAGCTTTTTGAAGTCAAGGCCCCTGTGACCTTGACCTTTGACCTGGTGACCTCAAAGTCAATAGGGGTCATCTACTAATCATGACTAACCTCCATGCCAAATATGACGACTGTAGGTCAAAGGAATCTTAAGTTATTGGGCGGACAAGCTTTTTGAAGTCAAAGCCCCTGTGACCTTGACCTTTGACCTAGTGACCTCAAAATCAATAGGGGTCATCTACTTATCATGACTAATCTCCATGCGAAATATGACGACTGTAGGTCAAAGGAATCTTAAGTTATTGGGCGGACAAGCTTTTTGAAGTCAAGGCCCCTGTGACCTTGACCTTTGACCTAGTGACCTCAAAATCAATAGGGGTCATCTACTAATCATGACTAACCTCCATGCCAAATATGAAGACTAAGGGTCAAAGGAATCTTAAGTTATTGGGCGGACAAGAAAAAACCGACGGACGGCCGGACGGACGGACAGCCGGACGGACGGACGGACGGACGGACGGACAAGCTGATTCCAGTATACCCCCCTTACAACTTTGTTGTGCGGGGGTATAATAATCAGAAACACTTGAAACAAATTTAAGATTAAAACAGTTTCTCATTAACAGATTAAGAGCAAAATAATTGCTAAAATTTATAAGACAACCAGAACCTAGCTACCAAACCTGCAGCTAGAAAAAAAACTGTTTGTGCTATAGTGAATGTAGGATGTTCTATTCTGTATTTGGACTAAAGGATATGTATTAAATTTTGTGAAAGAAATATGTGATCATGTTAAACTAATAAAAATTCCACCCCAAACATTCCTGTGCTGAATTCTGTCAGAGAATTTTAAATTGTAAGAACATTCAGGGATGCTGGAATAAGGCTGGATTTTTTTCCATGTTATTCCATCAAGGCTGGACTATTTACCATGGTAAAAAGTCCAGCCTCTATGGTTGGCAGACACATGGAATACCCTGGAAAAAAATCCATACTTTTGTTCCAATACTCCATGTACATGGAAAAGCATGGAATAAAGTCCATGCTTTTCCATGGAAAACATGGAAAATATTCCATGCAGCATGGAAAATGTTCCATGTTTTTTCCCTGTTTTTCCAGCCCATTTTTTCTCAGCTTCAGGCTGGAAAAGGCTGGAAATTTTTGTTCCAATACTCCAGCCTCTTATTTTCCATGGAAATCCCTGGAAAAGCATGGACTTTTTACACCCGGGATATATAACAAAAATTTCAACATTTCTAACAATAAAATGATGTTATTGCCAATTTCCCAACCAACTATAAATTATATGATATGTAAAATGTATTTTAAGAAAAAATGTCTGTTCATTTTTAACAGTCTTCCTGTAATTGATAAGTGTTTACCACCATGTCTGTTACAGACAAGCTATCTGCTCCAATAATGCAGTTTTAATTGATTCTTAAATGAGTTCACTGTGACACCCATGTCTAGGTCATAATTCCTGATAACAAATGTTGACACAAATCTTGGCAATTATATATAAGAAGAACATTTTAAAAAATGGGTTGATAACTTGCAGCTTTCAGGCCTAAATTTTAGAAATATTGTATGTCATGATAAATAAGATCATTGGCAGCTGCAACACTTCTAAAGCCATTACCTTTAATTAAGGTGCCAGGGTTTGGGAAAATTGAAAGTGACAAGACAGTGCATCAGGTGGGCTTAACTTTCTGAGAATAATCAGTGCTTAAGAAGCGTTTAATTGTATTTACATTTTATGCTAAATCAGCAAGTTCTTTGGTTGTCATTAAGAGACATTTGTTATTCAGTACTTGGATCAGTAGCTTCCCTTTGTAAAATTTTGCCATTTGTTGTATTATAGTTAACTCCCTTTGAGAAATATTACACCATTTGTTATCATGTTGCTATGCTGTCCTGCATTTATAGCAAGTCCACAATATTTGATAAATGCATGTAAGTATAAGTTTTACAAATATAAGGTAAGTGAAAATGAAAGTTGATCGGTTATAATTTTAGACATCATAGACGGACACAATACACTTTTAGCTGAGAAAATTATAGATTAACAGCTTTTCTTTTATATGAGATTAGTAAAAAAAAATTCATCATTATGTTAGATCAAAAATACTACTACAGTGATGTTGTTTTTTTTTCAAAGCGTACTCAGCACAGACTTTATAGAGGCTTATGAAACACTTTGAATTACTAGATCTATTATAGATAGATAACAAAATAGTCAATATAAATTTATTTATTAAACTGCAGGTCCTAGAAATGATATAAGTATCAAAATCGGCTAACTTTACAATGCCTTTTTCAGACTAATTCTGCTAATTCTATTGAGACTATTATAATAATTGACAGAAATTATAGTGAATAATGAGTATGATCAAGACTTGAAATGGCAAATAAAAAAGTCTGATTTTGTTGGGTGGATGATCTTTTTTCATTGTACAGAAAAAATTATATCAAATATACTGCTTACAGAAACATGAACACTTTCTTTCAGAGACAAGTTGAGTTAGTTGTAATTAGGCAAGAATTACTTGTTATCATTCTAAAATTAATGTAGTTAGTGAGGATGTAATTGTTTGTAATACTGTGAAAAACACCTGCTCTTTCCTTAACTTTTAAATTACCTCCTTATTTGTTTGGGAAAAACTTCTTTCCCCTACAGTTAAAGCAGACTTGGATCTTAAGGCAGTAAAGTATTTAACATAACTTCTCTTCATTAGTGAATTTCTGTGACATATATTGTCTTAAATTCATCATAAAGTTACTAAATAAATGCAAGGTACCTAATTTGTGTAAGTTTATAGGCCATAAAATGTCTTTTTTATTGCTTTATTTCTGCATTTTGACATGAAAGATGAATCTCTGTCTGGCAGACTTTCTTAGCTACTAGATATTGTAAAGAATCTTCCTAGTATTTTTAGTTTTTTTAAAGATAAATTCATTTCTCTCTCTATAACTGACAGTAGTGCAACAATATGGTGATAATTACTGGTATCATTGCAATGCAGTGTCAGGCAATATGCCACCCTGGTACCGAATCCTCATACAGTGATATTTCCTTTATTATTTCTGTTTGTATGATAAAAATATACATTTACGTATTTCAACTTTTTCAAGCCTTTTAATGTGTAACATAAAAATTTTTTTTTATGAATTGCTGCTGCATGTTGTTTAATCTATAACAGCTAATACAGACTTAACCTTTACAAGGATTTGTTTTTGATGCTGGTTTTAAATCATTTGATATATAATGATTTAATTTATAAAGATATATTAGATTACTGACACTCATTCACAACACCTTTTACTTCCTTCATTAAAATTTTGCATGTCTGGTAAAGGGTTACTGCTGAAAAAAGAAACAAAAAAATAATGAGTAATCATTTCTAAAAGAACATTGCGTTATTATAAATGTAGTTAATGGCTGGTTGATTAACAGATCCCACAGTCTAGGTCACTTTGCCTTCTATACCAAGTGAATAGCAGACAAAATGCACCAAGGGAACCACTCCTGATGTGTGTTTTTACTGATTGCACAGCTAATTTAAATGATGGTTAGCTATTCCAATCAGTGTACTGGTTTCATAACCACAAAATAATTGTTTAATTAAATAACACAACCATCTGCACTCAAAAAACTGCCAAAACGTGTGTTAACCTGCAGTTTTCAGGTACAAATTTTCACAGATTTCCTGGCAATTACCACTTTGAACCTGACAGGTTTAACACACTTGCATCTATGGTTGCAGATATACTTGAACTGCAAGATGCTTTCAATTTAATAAATAAAAGTTAAAAAGAAAATTAAAAAAATAAATATTGATATGTAGTCTGCAAAATGAAATTGAAATAATTTTCATTTTTAAAATAAGAGAATTTTTTAATTATATTGTTTTGATTATTTTCACTAAATGATGATATATGTAAATCTGTTCGCTATAAAAACTCCTGATACAAGGAACTAGTTCGCTATATGCTTACAAGGAACTCAGGATATAAGGAACAAATTTTGAATGTCCCGATGAGTTTGTTATAAGCGGAGTTTACTGTATACAGTAAAGCAAATACACAAGTTTATTCTGGTTGTCCTGGAATAGAATACAGTATAGAAAATACAGAATTTTTTAATTATATTGTATATGTGTTTATTGTTCCAGGATAGTTTATAGTAAAGCTGAATAACAGGTATGTGTTAATTATCCTAGGATAGTATATAGTAAAGCATAATTACAGGTATGTGTTGACTATCCCAGGATAGTATATAGTAAAGCTTAATTACAGGTATGTGTTGACTATCCCAGGATAGTATATAGTAAAGCTTAATTACAGGTATGTGTTAATTATCCCAGGATAGTATATAGTAAAGCATAATTACAGGTATGTGTTGACTATCCCAGGATAGAATATAGTAAAGCTAAATTACAGGTATGTGTTAATTATCCCAGGGTAGTATATAGTAAAGCTTAATCACAGGTATGTGTTAATTATCCAAGGATAGAATAAAGTAAAGCTAAATTACAGGCATGAGTTAATTGTCTCAGGATAGTATAAAGTAAAGCTAAATTAAAAACAGGTATCTGTTAATTATCCCAGGATAGTATATAGTAAAGCTAAATCACAGGTATGTGCTAATTGTCCCATGATAGTATATAGTAACGCTAAATAACAGGTATATGTTAACTATCCGTGGATAGTATATAGTAAAGCTAAATTACAGGTATGTGCAAATTATCTTAGGATAGTATATAGTAAAGCTTAATAACAGGTATGTTTTAACTATCCCAGGATAGAATATAGTAAATATGTGTTAATTGTCCCAGGATAGTATATAGTTAAGCTTAATAACAGGTATGTGTTAACTATCCCAGGATAGTATATAGTAAGCTAAATTACAGGTATGTGTTAACTATCCCAGGATAGTATATAGTAAGCTAAATTACAGGTATGTGTTAATTATCCCAGGATAGTATATATTAAAGCTTAATTACAGGTATGTGTTAATTGTGTCAGGATAGTATATAGTAAAGCTAAATTACAGGTATGTGTTAATTAACCCAGGATAGAATAGTAAAGCTAAATTACAGGTATGTGTTAATTATCCCAGGATAGAATATAGTAAAGCTTAATTACAGGTATGTGTTTATTATCATAGGATAGAATATAGTAAAGCTAAATTACAGGTATGTGTTAATTATCCCAGGATAGAATATAGTAAAGCTAAATTACAGGTATGTGTTTATTATCACAGGATAGAATATAGTAAAGCTAAATTACAGGTATGTGTTAATTGTCCAAGGATTGAATATAGTAAAGCTAAATTACAGTTATATGTATATTGTCCCAGGATAGAATATACTTAAGCTAAATTACAGGTATGCGTTAACTATCCCAGAATAGTATATAGTAAAGCTTAATTACAGGTATGTGTTTACTATCCCAGGATAGTATACAGTTTTGTCAAATTCAGGAGTATGTTGGTTGTCCAATATAGCAAATAATACCAGGTTTATTCCCAGGGATAGTATATAGATTACCAAATTACCAAGTTTATTCTTGTTGTCCTGGAAT